CAGCGATGTGTGGATGCCGCCGCTGAGCCGATCGGGGGGGGATTTGGGGGAAAACCGCCCCGTTTTGGTCCTTATCCCCCCTCCTCAATGTATTTTTGGCTTTTTTCTGATGGAGGGGGGACCCCAAAACCTCCGCTGGTTTGGGGATGGGGCCGGGAAGGGGCCGGTGCTGGCGTGGAAGGAAGCCAAACCCCGCTACGAGGAGCTAAAAAAAAACTTTAATGGAAAATCTCTACATTTTGGGGGAAAAAAAGACCCAAAAGCGGGGTTTTCCACCCCCCGAGGGGGAGGTTGGCGGCTGGGTCCCCAGCCCGTCTCCGTCCCATCCGGGCACGTCTGCGCTGCCTCGCCATGCCCTGCCGGCTGGGGAAACTGAGGCACGCAGCCAGCGCCGGCCTCGGCGGTGGACCTTGGCCTCCCTGTGCCTCGGTTTCCCCATCCGGAGCCCGGGGCGCAGGGGATGGGGGGTGCAGCGCCTTGTGGCTCTTCTGGGGTTTGGAGGCAAACGTCAGCGCCCCCAGAATGGAAACCCCTGACTTGGCCTCGCCACCCCGGGGCCTTCTGGGGTGCTGGGTGCTGCATTTGGGGTGCTCGGTGCTGTACGTGGGGTGCTGGGTGCTCAGTGCCGCATTGTGGGGTCTGGCTGCTGTATGTAGGGTGCTGGGTGCTGCGTTTGGGGTGCTGGGTGCTGCCCGTGGGGTGCTCGGTGCTGCATACAGGGTGCTTGGTGCTAAAGGAGGGGTGCTCAGTGCTGCATTTGGGGTGCTTGTTGCTATACATAGGGTGCTGGGTGCTGTCTGTGGGGTGCTGAGTGCTGCATTTGGGGTGCTGGGTGCTATACATGGGGTACTGGGGGCTGCCTGTGTGGTGCTCGGAGCCCCACGCCGGGTGCTCAGCACCCAGCACTCAGGACCTCTTCCCCACTCCCCCCAGGACAGGGGCCAGCGCCGCAGCCCCGTGGAGACCTTTCCCCGCAGGTTTCCACCCCGACGGGCGCCCCAAGCACCCATGGGTGCCAGGGCCCCGCCGCGGCTCCCCAGCCGCCCTCTTCATCCTCCCACCCTCCGCCTGCTGCCCAGAGCCCGCCGGGGTGGCCATCGCCCTGCCTAATTACGGGGCTGCGGCCGGCACACGAGGCGGCTGCGGCACGGCCATGGCAGGTCGCACCCATCCCCGCGTCCTTCCCCCTCCCTTCTCATTCCCCGCTGGGTGGAGATGGGTGCTGCCGGCGGCACCCAAAAAATCAGGTTTTTGGGGGGGGCTTCGCGTGGGCGCCGCGGTGCCGAAGCCTTCGCGCTTTGGGGGTTGCGCCGAAGCGGCCCCGTCCCTATAGATGGGCGTAGGGTGGGGGGACCGTGGGACGCCTGGCTCCGTGGGTGCCCCCACCCTCAGGGCTCGCCGTGCCCCCCCAGGGCTGTGCGCGGGGTTCAATGTCGACGTGAAGCGCCCGCGGCTCTTCCACGGGCCGGCCGAAGCCCAGTTTGGCTACAAGGTGCTGCAGCGGGCAGGCGGCGGGGAGAAGTGGTGAGTGGCACCCATGGCGGGGGACATGGGGACACCCGTGGGGCTTTGACCCCCCCCCAGCACGTCCCGCGGGGCGGGTGCGTGGGGCAGGGCTGGGGGACGGGGGGTGCGCGGCTTGCGATGCCCAGGGAGGGGGAAGCCGGGGCAGGGAGGGGGAAACTGAG